ATTTTCAGTCTGACGGCATGGCTTCTATCAACAGAAATTTCAAAAGTAAAGGCTTTTCAAAAGAAACTAGAAAACTTTTATCAGCGTCATGGAGAAAAGGAACTCAAATTGACTACAATTGTAAATTCAGAAAGTTCAGTAGTTGGTGTGATAAACGGAATAAAGATCCCTATTCAGTATCTTTAGTAGATTGTGCAGAATTTTTGACAGAATTGTATAAGGAGGGTCTACAATATAGAACTATTGCTGGTTGCAGGTCTATGCTTTCTTCTGTTTTGACTCCTATTGACAATGTACCTGTTGGACAGCATCCGTACATCATTCACCTTCTTAAAGGCGTTTTCAATTCAAGACCTCCAAGAGTTAGTGTAGTACCTGACTGGGACTTGCATAAAGTACTAGCTATGCTTCAAAAAGAACCTTTTGAACCACTGAAATTGGCTTCTTTAAAACATGTGACTTACAAGACTGTTTTTCTTGTAGCCATTACAACATTTCGGAGGTGCTCAGACATCCAAGCCCTGAAGTTAGGCGAAGGAGCTGTGACAGTAACAACCAGAGGAGTGACGTTTGTGAGACAAGGACTTTCAAAGCAAGATCGCATGAATCATTTCGGTGCCAAGATTTTTGTACCAACTTTTTCAGAAAAAAAAGTTAGATCCTAAAAGAGCATTAGCTTTTTATTTGAAAAGAACAGAAAACTTTAGACATGTTTTGAAGGATAAAGATGAAAAAAAAATTGTTTCTATCATTAAATGGCCCTCATAAACCTGTTTCAACACAAACAATATCAAGATGAATTGTCAATACCATCAAAATGGCTTATGATGACAATATTGAAGTAAAAGGTCATTCAACACGTTCTGTTGGTCCTTCTTGGGCACTTTTTAATGGTGCAAGTATGTCCTCTATTTACTTTGCAGATTGGAAGTCAGAGTCTACATTCACAAAATATTATTTGAAAGATGTGGATGTAGCAGTATTAAAACATTAAAGTTTTTTTTTCTGCGAGTTGTGATATATGTAAATTTTGACATTTTTGGTGTTTTAGAAAAATATATATGTACATAGTAGTTAAGGGAAAGAAGTTTCATGTATATAGTCTATGAAGAGAAGAGAAAATTTATAAAGATTCCCACCAGCCTACTTTTAGGTAAGGCTTTGAAATCATCCTTATGTATATTTTCTAGGTGGTAAGTAAAACCGAATGAAATGAAATTGAAAATTTGATTTTCAAGTTGTAATTTTATGAATAAAGGTTTTACTTACCACCTAGTACTACCCTCCCTTCCTCCCCACAGTTCTTGTGACATGTTTGTCGCAGACAAAACTGATTAGAGGAAGAGGAAGTAAGCGTGTTTAGGACTAATCTGAGTCGGTAAAGCGCTTCATTTAAATGCGAGTTGACTGTGGTAAAGGGAGATAAATCCTTATGTATATTTTCTAGGTGGTAACACCTTCATTCATAAAATTACAACTTGAAAATCAAATTTTCAATTTTTCCCTAATAATAAGAGTGGATCATCAATTTCTCATATTCTGTCACAAATTTACATCTAAAAATTCCTTAATTGCTCTTCATGCACAAAATAAGTCATTTTTAGGCAATTGGATTTGTAAGTTTTGCATTACTCAATCAATGTATACAGAAAATACAATCACTTATTCCCTGTTTCAAACCAATTAGCTTGTGCTCATGTGCACAAGGGAATTTGGGTGAAAAAAACTAAGTCCAATTTGATTGAACATTTTCAGGTTTCTTTAGAATTTCAGAAGGATTTCATGAAATCTTTGATGCACCCTTACTTGGCATTGGCAAAGTGATGAAGATGACACTAAACATTCAATAATCACTGTACATCATCAAAATATATATCATCCAACACCATATGACACATTGCGATAACAAGTAAATAGCTGCCATTTCCCTTGTTAAAGCCTGTAAACCTAGTGAATTTCAAATCATTCCCCAAATGCATGAAAATCTTATGGCTATGAAATGAATATGATGATTTTAAAGTTTTAAGGTCCCTGATTCTTCGCTAATAATAAGAGTGGATCATCAATTTCTCATATTCTGTCACAAATTTACATCTAAAAAATTCCCTAATTGGTCTTCATGCACAAAAAAAGTCATTTTTAGGCAATTAGATTTGTAAGTTTTGCATCACTCAATCAATGAATATAGAAAATACGATCACTTATTCCCTGTTTCAAACCAATTAACTTGTGCTCATGTGCACAAGGGAATTTGGGTGAAAAAAACTAAGTCCAAATTGATTGGACATTTTCAGGTTTCTTTAGAATTTCAGAAGGATTTCATGAAATCTTTGATGCACCCTTACTTGGCATTGGCAAAGTGATGAAGATGACACTAAACATTCAATAATCACTGTACATCATCAAAATATATCATCCAACATCATATGTCACATTGCGATAACAAGTAAATAGCTGCCATTTCCCTTGTTAAAGCCTGTAAACCTAGTGAATTTCAAATCATTCCCCAAATGCATGAAAATCTTATTGCTATGAAATGAATATGATGATTTTAAAGTTTTAAGGTCCCTGATTCTTCGCTAATAATAAGAGTGGATCATCAATTTCTCATATTCTGTCACAAAGAACAAGGTACAGTTTTGGCCAAAATTTGCCCTGTTCAGGAAATCATCCAAAATACTATATAAAATATTTGAATATGTTAATTTTATGAAAAAAGTAATTTTTATCTGATATCTTTTGAAGCGCCTGAAATATACTCCTTTAAAAATGCACACCTGCTGTCTTGACGTTCGCCCATTTTATAAAGACAATAACTTACGTTATGAAACATTACAATACGAGGGTTGCTGGGATATAATTGAGAATTTACTTTTTCTCCATAAAAGAAAGAGATCATTTCATGAAAATTCTTTATCAAGAAGAAATAAAATAAATGTGCAAAATTTCTAGTTCATATGATTATTAGATAAGCTCCGATGATATTATAAACTTGAATATGTCCACTGAACTGGGGCAGCATGGCTACGTCATTTTAACGTCACGTCAGCCTTAGATTATTTTCTCGTGTTGAAACGATTGGAAAGCGTTAATTCTTTTTCTGTTATTACCTATAAATGTATAACTTTGTAGAAAACAAACTCTCTCTTTTCTTAGTCAATTCTTTGAAAAATAAAATGTGTGTTGCCACAATTGAAAATTACATGAAATGTCATGTACACTTTGCCTATCGTGCAGTACCGACTTTTGCACCGCTGGTCAACGTTTTTTAGTCCCTAATAATTGATGGTCATCTAGCGCCTTTGGTTTCACTCTAATTGAATAATTTGTGAGGAAAAAATATACAAATGAAAAAATGAAATGTTTCTTCGCATCATTATTGTTTTAGCAGGTAGTTTAGTCTAGACAATAGTTCTCCACATGGCTACATAAATTTTTGTATACTCGCTCCTCCGCATTGACGTCATAATCCATTTTGCTGTCGTTTTCAGATTTCTATTTACACGTAGTAAATATTAATTATGATTGTTGTATTTCTAGTCTAAATTCCATCAAAATTGCATAAAATAGAGTCAAAATAAAATTAAAAATTACATACATAATTTTAAAAAAATTCCCATTCTGGTCCACGAAACTACGTACGTAGTAGTTATCGATTTTCATTATCTGATTTCATGACTGCGCCGGGTACCCCCACCATTGACTCATTCATATACCACAGAAAAGAAAAAAAATAAAATATTTCTGAAATATTTCTTGCTTTTATTTTTTTATGTATGTTTAGAGAAAATGCCAATTTTCACCAAAATACTTTCATTATAGAGAGGATAATATACACAATCTCCCAATAATTCCAGAAGATCCCTAGTATACTACAAATTCCGTAGGTCAAGACCTCGTTATTTGTATTCTAAATTACTATACCTCCCCCCCCTCCCATACTATCACACACAAAATTAAAATCAAAGTAAGGGTTTTTACCATCCCATCTAAACCAACAAGAAATATTCCCATTTCTTAAATTTCTATGACTGATAAAAAAAGGGGGAGGGCTTCCTGCTTTAAGTGAAAGAGGGAAATTGTTTGACATTTCTCCGATACCTGCGAAATGGTGTTCGATGTTATTTCTGTCACTCCTTGGGCCCGTTTTACAAAAGAACTTACGACTAAGACCGAAAACTTAAATTGGTTGTAAAATTTTGCAATATAAATGATTTTGTTTAAAATTGCTGGCGTAAAAATATCTTACTACATTCCTTTCAAAAAGATTAAAACCATTTTTAATATAATGTAAGTTAAAAAGTTAGAAGCAGAATTAAATTTTGGTCTTAGTTGTAAGTTCTTTCGTAAGGCCCCTTGTCTTTGATTTCACCCCCTTCCTGAAATCAAGTACCCTTTTTGTATGTTTGGTGATTGATTTAACAACCACCCTTTCTTTGTTTTCTTCTGTTTTAAGGAACAAATACTGCAAAATCACAGGATCCTGTGTGACTTAATTGTATTTTGAGAGATAACAGTAATTACAATAAAAATAGTAGAAAGTCAGCAACAAAACATAAACGAGAGACCTACTGTAGCTGATTCTAAGTAAGGAAATTTCACTTTCCTAAAATTCTATTTCGAGATGAAGAATTTAAAAGTTATGCATCTGGCCAACATCGAATTATTTTAGGATTTAAGACACATCTCTCGTTATGGAAAAAATATGTATTTTAAGAGAAATAAAGGAAGTTTCTGCACTTTTTTGGAAATCATCAAATATTTGCACCTGTGTTAATTATTTCGCTAATCATTATGAATATAATTGTTATATTTGTAAACATAATAGTAAAAATTACTATGAAATAAATAAGAAATTGTTCAGCATAACTTGTAAACATACATTTACATGTTCAGACACATCTCTCGTACTAATACCGAATGACATTATATTAAATGACATTGGAGAGAATGACATTGGAGAGAAGAAAATAAAACGTTTTAAAAGCAATTGAGTTCTTTCACTCTTCAACATCACTGTCCTCATCACTGTCTGATTCATCGATAATTTCGGGTAGATCTGATGCATCATTAACAGAGGTGCTCCAATTCCTGACACCTTTCACAGAATCGACTTCATGTCTCGCGTGCGCAAGAAACCACACGACACTGGTGATGTGGCCACACATTCCGACTACTCTGCTCCCCGCCTTACACTTACAAAACCAACCATCAATCACACCATCATTATAACTTATCCAGCACTGATAATTTCTAGCCGATATATGTCTACTCTGGATTTTAGCGGATAGTATTCCCTGTATATCATCGCTTACTAAAATCTCGTATTTACCTTCGATGTCCGTGTGTTCGTGTGTATATGATCGAGCCATACGAAGTTGGTATACCCCCAAAGTTAGCTCTCTTATACCATTTTCGTCATATTTTGGGAAATCTGGCGCACACTGTTCGGCGTCAACCTTTACCCAACGAACTGGCCTCTTGTCCAAACCCTCTTCCTCCACACGTTTCTGTAGTGCATTTTCTTTTCGGGAGAGATGAAGCATTTTTGCAGCAATTGACTGATCATCGGATGTGGTAGTGCACAGTGGTGGCCGATACCTATTACAAATGGCTGATACAATTCTGATATAATCCCCGATGAATGGTATCTGGGTGTTAGGTAGGGTCTTCTCCAGGTATTTCCATTGTTTCAGTCGAGCATTAGCAGCTTCCACAACCCATCTTACCTATGAATGAAAGCATATACATATAATCACAAAATAAAATATGGTTTCAGGTACATGAAGCAGTGCTAGAGGAATACACGTTTTTTGTTAAAAATAGGAGGGGGGGGGGGGATGGGATCGTCGACAACATCTAACATCAGTTTAAACCGATGTACATATAATAAAATTTCAGTTCTGTTATAAAATTTTTTGATCTTTTTTTTTTTTTATTTCATTTTATTTATTTATTTATTTATTTTTTGGTAGTTGTGGGGGGGGGGGGTATGTTATTGCTGTAATAATTAATATTTGATTCATCTACCTTTGTAACCACTCTAGAAATATTTGAATTATGGGTTCTCAGTTGTTTATCTCCCCTCTGTATGAATGACGGCATTTCCATTTGGATACCAAGATCTTCCAACACATCTCCAGTGTCCCTGAATCCCCTATCCACAACAAACACGTCATCTTCTTTTAACCAGGATTTCATTTCTTCAGTGTTGTGTAGAATCATGTGTTTTAGAATGCTAGCATCGTTATTTTTTGAATCCGCTAGATAGGGTCCAAGAACGGAAATTATGTAACCCGTAGTAGTTACAACCATCATGGGTTTAACGAGGGGCCTATGTTTGCGCATGCTGTAAGATCTTCTGGCAAAGGCGAAGTTAGAACTTTTCTGGATATACACGTAAGTTCCATCTAGAACTAATATTGCCGGATCTGCCGTAGCACTGTTCGTGAAAAGATCTCTAGCAAGTTGGCGGGTGTGGTTCTCAATCACTGCCTCCCGCGTGATGTGCTGAAAACCCCGATTTTGTGGTACAAAATCTGTCATCAGTGCTTTTCTTCCTGATTTAATAGCTCGTCTTATCTGTATAAAAGAATAAATGTGAAGTGATCCTTTTCACAAAATATCTAACGACTATGTATATACATATTATTTAACATATTTAGTTTATAAATAGGATAATGACTGCTTTTGCATAAAACAATAGATACAAAATTATGTAAAAACCTGATGCTTCGTCATGTTGAATAATACTCCCAGCAATTTGTTTGACATTGCTGTACGCAGTTTCACCAGGAGAATGGCAATGCATGTCCTCTTACTTCTTACTTTTGTTGAGTTGATACTGGTCACCGTTGACACAACATCTTCGAATTCACGACGAGTAAGTCCAGTTAGAATCTTGTAGTCGTCATCATCCATGTTGCCCTCATCATCAAAATCGAGCCTGGAATTGCGAAAAGCTATTTCCCGTAAGTCTTGAATGATGTTATATACTGCGGTTCTATTCAACATTACACCCTCACTGGTTTTAATATTTTCTATAGCTTTCTCCGAAAGGTTTCCATTTATTAAGTGACCTGTACAACACCTTGCTCCTGACGGAATTATGATTTCTCCTATGATAAGTACATGCAGGCGAGCTTGATTTGAAAGCGAAATAAGTTTAGGTCCTGGCTTTTTGCACACAAAACAATATCCATGACTTTTTGTTGAAGATGAGAAAGGTAATGCAACAGATGGCGGACTTGATATTTCTGTCAATTTAGTGCGTTTGGGAGATGTAAAAGATGGATCATTAGCCTCATCCTTATCACGTACAGGAATTGTACAAACCTCCCTTTTTCGAGAAATGTTTCGGCATTTATGACGGCACTTGTTGCACAGTACGTCTGATTCTGTTGCACCAACTGCAAATTTTTTTGACAGAATGTTTATATATCCCGACTGTACTGGACGACGTTCTTGTGGAGGTGGTCTTCCTCGACACAAAACACACGAATAATGTCTCCTGTCCATTCTGAAAAAAATGATCATGTATAATTATTTTCAGATATGTTATATATAGTGTAAAAAAAGTGTATTTTCTTCATCAAATACATAGTACATGTAACATGACATAGTAAGGAAAAAAAAAAAAACAAAACACGCATGCCGGATTCGAATCCACACCCTTATTACCGTACCATATCGTGTCGTACAATATTCGATACGGACTATTCACTACCTATATGCGAGCACGTTATTTAAGACCTACAAATGTATACAAACTCAAAATAAAGTAACAAGCTGAGTTTGAAACAGACAATATTCAATAAATATGCCGTCTAAATACTAGTTTTCTTTTTTATTATGCATGTATGTATTGTAAAGATTAAAAATAACACTAGGCTATCTAGCCATGGCGTCAAAGGTCCCGAAAGCTTATACAGCTGTTGTCACCGGTACTTGCAGACGATGTAAATATTAGAATGGCTAGCCTAATAATTTTTGCTAAAACATACAATATTTTTAATGTAAAAAATTAAATCATTATCTAAGTTTCAAGATTCAGTTCGTAACATTTCTCCCTCTTAGCTTTCGTCTGTTCACAAGGCTTTATCCGCCGTGTACGCGTGTGACGTACAATCGTCGGTTAAATAGTTGATCATATTCATGAAAACTGCACATATAAAAATTTTCACACATAGAAGTGATATGTATATATAATTTTTCCTCACCCGTAAGATCTTGATGTCGGTAAACCAGAATCCTGGTACATCTACTTCTGTTTACATTAACCCATGGTAACGAAAATGACGTCATTCAAACGACGAGATGAAAATTCCGGATAGTTTATATATGTTATTCAAAAAAAAAAAAAAAAAAAGAATACAGTTTGCCAAGACACTATTATAAGCTTTACTGAGCACTTAAATGATATACTGCTTTCAACTATCTTGAAATCACCGTACTGAGGATATAATTCGAGAGTTTATAACATCTTCTACCGACATGGCAACCGATATGATTAGATTTTACCATGTCCACAGTCCTCGCCCACGATGAAATTAAGACTGAATATGGATTTACACTTCATATTCATTCTGTCAAAATTTAATCGTGGGCGATCACTGTGGAGGTATTGAATTTTGACTTTTACTGGCTATTTTTTGTACAAATAATGGCAAATGAGTCAAGGATATTATCTTTTTGACAGTGCATATTGCGCATGCGTACTAGTGTTTTTTTTTAAATATATGTTTTGGTGTCTATGAGGGTTACTTTATTAAATAACAAAAAAGAAAGAGTTAAATAAACATATTCAATTTTTGGGAAAATCACCAGGCAAACTTTGGCTAAAACTGTACCTTGTTCTTTACATCTAAAAAATTCCCTAATTGGTCTTCATGCACAAAAAAAGTCATTTTTAGGCAATTAGATTTGTAAGTTTTGCATCACTCAATCAATGAATATAGAAAATACAATCACTTATTCCCTGTTTCAAACCAATTAACTTGTGCTCATGTGCACAAGGGAATTTGGGTAAAAAACTAAGTCCAAATTGATTGGACATTTTCAGGTTTCTTTAGAATTTCAGAAGGATTTCATGAAATCTTTGATGCACCCTTACTTGGCATTGGCAAAGTGATGAAGATGACACTAAACATTCAATAATCACTGTACATCATCAAAATATATCATCCAACATCATATGTCACATTGCGATAACAAGTAAATAGCTGCCATTTCCCTTGTTAAAGCCTGTACACCAAGTGAATTTCAAATCATTCCCAAAATGCATGAAACTCTTATGGCTATGAAATGAATATGATGATTTTAAAGTTTTAAAGTCCCTGATTTTTCTCTAATAATAAGAGTGGATCATCAATTTCTCATTTTCTGTCACAAATTTACATCTAAAAATTCACTAATTGCTCTTAATGCACAAAGTAAATCATTTTCAGGCAAGTGGATTAGTAAGTTTTGCATCACTCAATCAATGTATATAGAAAATACAATCACTTATTCCCTGTTTCAAACCAATTAACTTGTGCTCATGTGCACAAGGGAATTTGAAGGAAAAAACTGCGTCCAATTTAATTGAACATTTTCAGGTTTCTTTAGAATTTCAGATGGATTTCTTGAAATCTTTGATGCACCCTTACTTGGCATTGGCAATGTGATGAAGATGACACTTGACATTCAATAATCAATGTACATCATCAAAATTATTCTGGGATTTACTTTTATAAATTTCAACACTAGCATAATCCAAATGCTCACAAACATACAATAATACATTTGTGACTGATATATCTTCAATTTTAGCCAATCCCATGAATTTTTTTTTTGTAAACAAAACACTAGCAACTTGTTCCGACAAAGAGAGGTAATCAGCTAATAGCGTTTTTAGGTCAAAGTTGAAAAACTGGAAAATTCTCTATCTCGATGGAATGCATCAATTTCTATGATCTTTATTTAAATTTCAATTTGATACACTTGTCAAATCATGCCAATGTGCCTCTTTAATTATTTGTTATAATTGACAATATAAAATTATTGAACAGAGATTGATTCTTCTGCAAGATGGTCAGCTAGTGTTTTGTTTACATTGCATTCCAGAGCACGAACCTAATGACCTCTTCCAAGTTACTTCCTCTTTGACTGCGTACAAATCATGCACATGGAAGAAATACTGGCTATGCTTTTTTTTCAATCGTTCGGTTAATAAATCGAGAACATTGGGATTTCTAATAGCCTGCTTATATATAGTTTATTATTTCGTACGCAGCCTTAAGAATATTATAATACCTACTTATAAATGCAAGAACAGGTGCTCCCCTACATGTGATTATTATAATGATACAGTGTATTATCTTTCATAATAATTGATGGACTTTACTTGGCACTGTCCATTAAGTTAGACCAAAGGAAACTAGTTTTTGAATTAACAACTGTAGTTTTTCAATTGTAGGAGTCATCAAGTCACTGATTTATATCGATGAGTATGAACATTAACTTTTTTCAGTCTTATTTATAAGATGTATAAAATGTATATAAAAACTGATGGAAAAATATTTTAATTTCGTTGAATTCGGGTAATCTTCAATGTAAACAACAACAACAAATCACAACAAAAAAAATGTGGAATGAAGAACCAGTGAAGGATAAAAAATATTTTGTAAACAAAAGCATATATGTTAAGATCCTCTAACTCCAGATCAAATAATGTCAGAAACTTTTTCAAGCAGAAGTCCAATTTTAGGATGAGACATTATTGCAAAGTAGAGAAGAAATGTTAAACAGAAAAGGATATTTAGTTTTCAATATAGTGTGTAAAATTTGCAAAAAAAAAAAATCATGGGATTGGCTAAAATTGAAGATATATCAGTCACAAATGTATTATTGTATGTTTGTGAGCATTTGGATTATGCTAGTGTTGAAATTTATAAAAGTAAATCCCAGAATAATTTTGATGATGTACATTGATTATTGAATGTCAAGTGTCATCTTCATCACTTTGCCAATGCCAAGTAAGGCTGCATCAAAGATTTCATGAAATCCTTCTGAAATTCTAAAGAAACCTGAAAATGTTCAATTAATTTGGACTTAGTTTTTTTTCACCCAAATTCCCTTGTGCACATGAGCACAAGTTAATTGGTTTGAAACAGGGAATAAGTGATTGTATTTTCTATATACATTGATTGAGTGATGCAAAACTTACAAATCCAATTGCCTAAAAATGACTTATTTTGTGCATGAAGACCAATTAGGGAATTTTTTAGATGTAAATTTGTGACAGAATATGAGAAATTGATGATCCACTCTTATTATTAGAGAAAAATCAAGGACTTTAAATCATCATATTCATTTAATAGCCATAAGATTTTCATGCATTTTGGGAATGATTTGAAATTCACTAGGTGTACAGGCTTTAACAAGGGAAATGGCAGCTATTTACTTGTTATCGCAATGTGACATATGATGTTGGATGATATATTTTGATGATGTACAGTGATTATTGAATGTTTAGTGTCATCTTCATCACTTTGCCAATGCCAAGTAAAGGTGCATCAAGGATTTCATGAAATCCTTCTGAAATTCTAAAGAAACCTGAAAATGTTCAATTAATTTGGACTTAGTTTTTTTTCACCCAAATTCCCTTGTGCACATGAGCACAAGTTAATTGGTTTGAAACAGGGAATAAGTGATTGTATTTTCTATATACATTGATTGAGTGATGCAAAACTTACTAATCCACTTGCCTGAAAATGATTTACTTTGTGCATTAAGAGCAATTAGGGAATTTTTAGATGTAAATTTGTGACAGAAAATGAGAAATTGATGATCCACTCTTATTATTAGAGAAAAATCAGGGACTTTAAAACTTCATATCATCATATTCATTTCATAGCCATAAGATTTTCACGCATTTTGGGAATGATTTGAAATTCACTAGGTGTACAGGCTTCAACAAGGGAAATGGCAGCTATCTTCTTGTTATCGCTAGGTGACATATGATGTTGGATGATATATTTTGATGATGTACAGTGATTATTGAATGTTTAGTGTCATCTTCATCACTTTGCCAATGCCAAGTAAGAGTGCATCAAAGATTTCATGAAATCCTTCTGAAATTCTAAAGAAACCTGAAAATGTTCAATCAAATTGGACTTAGTTTTTTTTCACCCAAATTCCCTTGTGCACATCCTGTACGAAATTGTACGCCTGGTAATAACACGTAAACCAGGCGTCATACTCTGCAAAAACCAGGGGGATTTTGACTCAATACCATATAAATAAACCAGGCGTCAAATGAGAAGGAAACCAGGCGTAAAAAGAGGCGTAATATGCCAATTTTACGCCTCTTCAATAAACCAGGCGTAAAGGTTCTTAGTGTCCAGGCGTAAAAATGTCCAAGCGTAAAAAAGTCCAGGCGTACAATACACAATGATATATACAAAATACATTACATGTTTTGAAAACTAAGTATTTATTTTATCAAAACATCCATATCTTAGTATCAATTTAAATAACATTCAAAGACAGTTTTTCTTAACATTTTGATGGACAATAAAATGTAATACAAGTAAACTTTACATTAATAAATCTTCCCATTTAAGGAAAATTCAAAATTTGTATTATACAAAAATTTATAAATTATCTGGAAAATACCAATCTCTGATAACTTTGTATTACAGCAAAGATGCTTATAATGAATTCATGGTTATAGTGATTTTCATTTCCTTAAATTTTAGAATATTGCTGTGAACTTAATGAATATAATGAACTACGTCTAATCAAAATTGTTCATTCCTTGTACCTCGCAATAAATGTGTTTTACATTAGCTTATCTTGTATCGTGCACTGAGCTCTCCTTAGCATTCTCATATTTTTCTTTCCTCTGTTCCTTTTTAAATTTTTGTCCTGCAATGAGACTTGCTCTGTGATGGCATTGTTCAGTTCTTGGTTCACTTTTTTTTTCATTTTCTCCACACCACTTAAGGGTATAACCTGAAGGAAAATTGTAGCCATGCTTTAAAGTCGGTCTGAAATCACATGCATTATGTCCAACGAGATCAGTATTTACAATAAGAGAAAAAAAATGTTGTATTACATAATGGGTTGACAGGAAAACAAACAGACAGACCAAACACTATATATCCCCAATCCTTCAATTGGGGGCATGAAAATCTTACCCCTTCAGATATTCCAGGGGGTGAAATATCCTGGTCATTCTCCCTTGGTTTTTCTGAAGAGGGAGGATTTGGTCACAGGAGGCCTGCTTCTTGATTATCTGGATGATAGGAATATAAATATATTACAGCCGTGCATATAGTTAAATATATCAAATATTGAATGTGTATTTTACTATCACACAAATACTTTATTTAGGTTTTTATTTTTTATTATTATCTAACCTCAACACAATCCCCCATGGGATGAAATGCTAATATCTACTACCACTACCAATGAAAGGATGTTGGTAGTAGAGTGTTTTCTCAAGGGAGGAGTTTTGTGACTTGGTATTTTCTTTTCCCTTGGGACTTAGCTCCTGTTTCTTCTCTCTTGTATCCTCAGTGATTTTCTTCTTATTTGGGATAAACTCTTCATCATGTTCCTTAATTTCTTTTATTTTGTCTGTTGGAGCCCTTGTTCTCTTCCCATTTGCTTTCTCTGTGTTTAGATTGAGAAATTAAACAGTCTCTCTGGAACATCTTTAGCTTTCTCCTGCACGTTTCCTAATAATTTGCTGCATGCCGAATAGCAAACTTTGTTAGCTCCTCTTCATCATCTACAAATACACAATCAGATAACAAAATTATCACCAAGAAATGTGGGCTTTGTGCATATCTGAGCTTGACCCCCCCCCCTTTAAGAAACACAAAACAGACCCCTTGTAAGTCAGTAGGAAGGAACGAATATACAAGAAAGTTAATGAGTGAATATATATATATATATATATATATATATATATATATATATATATATATATATATATATATATATATATATATATAATTGGTTATGAAAAGTTTCCGATCCACCTATGCATTGTAGCAACCCATTAAACATCACCTTAACCATGTTAACATGGTCAGCTTATCAGGAAGTGCACTCTATTTGTTATCAGGAGAGCTTTTGATTAAAATTACTGTAAATATTTTGTTTAGTAAAATTTTTAAGACAGCCACCGTGTGGCAAATTTATAATTCATACCATCATACCATGTTTTGATCCATGCGACTTTATATTCCCTCATCTTGAACCCGACTTTTTTCAAAAAAAAGAAAAGGTGGGAAATGCCTCGTATATTTTTTGTTTTGTATATTTTTTTTTTCGAAATGTTAAATACTAAAAATGATAATTATGCGATAGAAAGATAATTTTTTTTAAAAAAAGCATGGAGTATACAACAGCAGTAGTTTACAAATACGACAGGTCTCCATACGTAAACAAACACGCATGTTACATGTAATCTAATCATTAACAAATTAACCATGTTAACAGAATGATTTTAAAAGCACATTTCTTAAATTTTTATAAATAATACTATATGGTATATTTCAAAGTGTTAACCTCGCTGGAGTATGAAAATCTTAAAAATTCTTACCATGAACATTGATGATGGGGCCATGAATTATGGTATCTCACTTCGAATTCCGTCCTTATTGTCAACGTTTTGTGTTTTTCTCCCACAAAAGTCAAACTGCAATCCTCATCGAAGTATTTTCACTTTCAAGTAAAATCAAGTTGTCAGAAACAAGTTGAAATCGGCAGGGCAATGTTTCTTTCAATGCAACAGAATTTGAAATGACCATGCGGGCGGGATTTTGATAGCGTGGGGTATCAAGTTTCTGCAGCCCCGGTTCGAAGATGCTCTACTGTTGAGGTTTACGACGGGATCGATACAAAAGCTATTACAAGCTTTTCCCCAAAAACATCCCTCAAAATAATAAAATGCGTTCTTTTAGTATTAATTTGTCGCATTTTTTTAAAGATGCAAAATCAATGTATAGATCAATAAATTTCACTGAGATCATTTTGTAAGGCGATTCCCCTTGGCCTCTGAGAAAACACCTTAGTTTACAGTTGTTCTCGGCACATTGGAAAATCATGGAATAACCAAACAAAATAAAAGAAGCTTCCTTACGGAAAGCGTTTGTAAAATTTAGCAAATTTCAGCTCAAGTTAATTTATGGAACGATGGAGATTTAAAATATGAGATGTATTACAAGTTACAGAATTTGTGATCGAAATGTGTAGAATTGGTCGAGACATAAATAACCAGAACAGGAATCCTTGATTGCGAGAAAACCGTAGACGATTCTAGTAAACTGTTATCGGTAAGTATTTTACAGTTTTTTTAAACATTAAAAAAACGATCGACTTACATATATCGGGATCGACAATCAAATTAATAGAATGTTACTTCCGTTTTACAGATTGCAACCCGGATTCGTTTGTTCATTCAAAACTGCGTTTGACCTCTAAAAAGGTCTAAATCTATTTCTCCGGATAACTATTTAACACTGAAACATTTAATCCAATTTATCCGGATAAAAAGTTTTAGACTTTTTTATAGGTCAACCGGGTTCAAACGCAGTTTTGAATGAATAAACGAATCCGGTGACACAGATATCGCAAGTAAGTGTTCTACCGTGATGAATGTTTTTGAAGTCAGCAGAATTGGTATTTTTAATTGCATTTCCATTGCAAAACAACATCTGTGCATCCAAAATATGTCTATGATAATGCATCAATCCTAAAACACCGATCGAAGTGGGACCCGGTTTTGGTTCTTCATTTAGTCAATTTCTGAACTGCTTTTATTAGGCCTTTCGTAGAGAAGTTGAGGGGGAGTATTAAAACGAGCCATCAACTTCTCAATAGAGAATAGACGATTTGTTGAGTAACATGGCAACATTTAAGAAACAAAGAACCCTAACTGCCAACAAAAAGATAGTTACATAAAATTTAGTGATGAGGATTTTTCTGATAATGAAGAGGAAGTATTATCTTTTCTGATTTATCTGATGAAGAGGAATACATTTTGGATGATATCACTGAAGAAATTGCAATGTTACGGAGCATGATGATCAAGACTTCCAACTTCATTCTTTGCTCTGTAACATCCGTGTTTCAATAAGAGTATATTCATGTTAGTGCTTGCTGTGATTTGCACCAATAATAGATGATGAACCCAACAACTTTTGAACATAATTTCAGATGTGATGCTAGCAGAAAACATTTTATATACCATTTGACATATATGCATCTAACAGTTGTCCAAAAAACAAAAACAAAAACAAAAAAAAAAAAAAAAAAAAAAAACTAAGGAATCTTTGTGACGGTGTTTACCACTTTTATTGTCATCGTTGTTTGAGGGCCATATAAAATGTTGATTGTGTCATCTGTCTAAAGGAATTTTGTCAAACACCATTCAAGAAACCAAAAACTTCTTTCTGGAAATACCTGTTATAAATCTACTCCACAATCGATTATTTTTCAAGATGGATTTTTTAAAGCAAAATGCAAGTTGGAGTGGTTTAACAGAAATATAGCTGGTGGAACTTATAAGGACATCTGTGATGGGACTGTAATTTCAGCTAGAAATTATCTTAGCTCAACAATGATGTTGGGAAGGACAAACACAAATGCTGAAATATTTTTCTTAAAGTTTTCTAATCTATAAAGTATTTCACTGTAAATATTGCCAATGGATTTATTGTTAACAAAAGAAAAGTGAAATATAATGTTTTGCCTACATCGTACCTCTTCTTATTTTTTCTAAGACCAACATTACGCCTCACCAATTTTTCTAAGTCCAACATTACGCCTCACCAATTTTTCTAAGTCCAATATTACGCATTACCAATTTTACTAAGTTCAGCATTACGCCTGGTTTTAAGAAGTTACGCTTGATACAAGAATTACGCCTGGCCCAAGAGGCGGAAAATGACACGTATTCCGTGTGTGCAAAGAGCAGGAATACGTGTCCTGCTCATGTACGCCTGGTAAAGACATGTAATTCTGAATTCCGTCTAGAAACCAGCTGGTTTCCATGTCTCATCCAGCTGGTTTACGCCTCACTTGTTCGTACGGGATGAGCACAAGCTAATTGGTTTGAAACAGGGAATAAGTGATTGTATTTTCTATATACATTGATTGAGTGATGCAACACTTAGTATTCCAATTGCCTAAAAATGACTTATTTTGTGCATGAAGACCAATTAGGGATTTTTTTAGATGTAAATTTGTAACAGAAAATGAGCAATTCATGATCCACTCTTATTATTAGGGAAAAATAGGTGACTTTATAACTTTAAAATCATCATATTCATTTCATAGCCATAAGATTTTCATGCATTTTGGGAATAATTTGAAATTCACTAGGTGTACAGGCTTTAACAAGGGAAATGGCAGCTATTTACTTGTTATCGCAATGTGACATATGGTGTTGGATGATATATTTTGATGATGTACAATGATTATTGAATGTTTAGTGTCATCTTCATCACTTTGCCAATGCCAAGTAAAGGTGCATCAAATATTTCATGAAATCCTTCTGGAATTCTAAAGAAACCTGAAAATGTTCAATCAAATTGGACTTAGTTTTTTTCACCCAAATTCCCTTGTGCACATGAGCACAAGCTAATTGGTTTGAAACAGGGAATAAGTGATTGTATTTTCTATATACATTGATTGAGTGATGCAAAACTTACAAATCTAATTGCCTAAAAATGACTTATTTTGTGCATGAAGACCAATTAGGGAATTTTTTCATGTAAATTTGTGACAGAATATGAGAAATTGATGATCCACTCTTATTATTAGAGAAAAATCAGGGACTTAAAAACTATAAAATCATCATATTCATTTCATAGCCATAAGATTTTCATGCATTTTGGGAATAATTTGAAATTCACTAGGTGTACAGGCTTCAACAAGGGAAATGGCAGCTATCTTCTTGTTATCGCAATGTGACATATGATGTTGGATGATATATTTTGATGATGTACAGTGATTATTGAATGTTTAGTGTCATCTTCATCACTTTGCCAATGCCAAGTAAAGGTGCATCAAGGATTTCATGAAATCCTTCTCAAATTCTAAAGAAACCTGAAAATGTTCAATTAATTTGGACTTAGTTTTTTTTCACCCAAATTCCCTTGTGCACATGAGCACAAGCTAATTGGTTTGAAACAGGGAATAAGTGATTGTATTTTCTATATACATTGATTGGGTGATGCAAAACTTACAACTCCAATTGCCTAAAAATGACTTACAAATCTAATTGCCTAAAAATGACTTTTTTGTGCATGAAGACCAATTAGGGAATTTTTTAGATGTAAATTTGTGACAGAATATGAGAAATTGATGATCCATTCTTATTATTAGCGAAGAATCAGGGACCTTAAAACTTTAAAATCATCATATTCATTTCATAGCCATAAGATTTTCATGCATTTTGGGAATGATTTGAAATTCACTAGGTGTACAGGCTTTAACAAGGGAAATGGCAGCTATTTACTTGTTATCGCAATGTGACATATGATGTTGGATGATATATTTTGATGATGTACAGTGATTATTGAATGTTTAGTGTCATCTTCATCACTTTGTCAATGCCAAGTAAGGGTGCATCAAAGATTTCTTGAAATCCTTCTCAAATTCTAAAGAAACCTGAAAATGTTCAATCAAATTGGACTTAGTTTTTTTCACCCAAATTCCCTTGTGCACATGAGCACAAGCTAATTGGTTTGAAACAGGGAATAAGTGATTGTATTTTCTGTATACATTGATTGAGTGATGCAAAACTTACAAATCTAATTACCTAAAAATGACTTATTTTGTGCATGAAGAGCAATTAGGGAATTTTTTCATGTAAATTTGTGACAGAATATGACAATTATTTGTAATGAAAAACTAAGAAGAGAAATGTAGGGCAACCTTTTCTCCTATCCATAAAATAATATTGTCAAATTTTGAGTTTTATTATTTTTCAATAAGTGTTTTATGTTCCTTTTTCTTCTTAATTTAAATTTTTAAAGAATACATCGTCTTCAGTTAGTTTGGGACAGTACAATTTGGGACCATTTCCTGTATGTTCGTATTGATTAAGGTTCGAGTTGCATTACCATTTTTCTCACAATTTTGTATTCAAAAATTATATGTATTGATTAAATAAATCAATACTCTATTATCATCAGAAGCCTTTCACCAAATACGTATGAGGAAATACCAAATTTCAACATTATT